ACTCATTGTGTTGAAGAGTAGAACTTATTGTTAGGTTGTGGGCTTAACATGTTTGATTAAAATTTGTAGTGTTGCTTCTCTCTATGAGCAGATGCTGTATTAATGCTAGTGCAGTGACAACCCTAGTGAAACATAAATATACTAAAATGTATTTTAAATACATTTATTTCATGTATACTGCATGTATACTAAGTATACTACAAGTACATTTACACATTTGTGTACTCAATAAAATTACCCTGCAGTTTTACTTTTAGTATAAACTAGTAACAATTTGCTAAATTGGAACAACTAATTTTGTACTTAATGCACTTTAATTGTGCAGAAGTAGTGATGATGTCCAACTAAAGACATACTGAAGTATATTTGATTGTGCTAAAGTGGAACTATTGCAAGTGTACCTCAGGTACACTTTAAATATATTGCATTTAAAGACCAATATTACTCAAAGATCATACAATCCTCATCAATAGTGACATTAAAACACATTTTAGGCTTAGTATTAAGAAATGTGCATTGTGCACAAGTAGGACTCCAAATAAAGTTTAATTGTTTCAGTCTCAAGCGATATGTCAGTAAATATGTTAATGGATTTGAATTATACTTAGTATAAAATAAATGTATTTTAAATATATTACTTTTTACTAGGGAAGTAACTACTTGTCCATTGCAAACATTAGCTATGCTAGCTACCAAAATGACAATATGTTCATATGAATCCGTTTTTGTAAGCCATTAGTGTGTCATAGCCGTTGAATGTAATCTTTACTCAACACATGGGATGAAATCAACCCAAACAAATTGACCTCAGTTTTATTGAGTATATTCTATAGGTTTGTTTTTACAGTATACAGACTAAAGGATCAAATTAAATCAATTAGATTTGATTTGATTCATTTTCTATAGAATCTTATCAGATCTGAGCCCCCTTGAAGTTCCCATCTGGCACTTTCATTGAACTGTAGGACTTTAATGAGCAACTTTCTGTAGACTTCTGCTTATTGGGGTATCCATCAATATGGACAATATTTTGGCACATTGTCGTGTTGATTGCGTGGCACAATCCTTTTCACAATCTCTCTCTGTCTCTCTGCCTCCTGTTGTTCCTTGGAGCATGATGGAGCGATTTCATTTTTCATCTCGATCATCATCAGAGAAATGCTGCTCATTATAGGCTTTGTTTAGCCTAGTCTTATGATAAATGGGAACACAACTTCATATTTTATGGGAAATCATACAGCAGTCCATCTGGTAAAAATCTGGTCGGTCTCTTTCATGCCTTAGTGGTGGTGTAGGAATAGTCCTGATGGTTTAGCTATCCAAAAAAGATCTCATCTGGTTCAATCTATAGGAAAAATATGAAATGTTAGAGGCTACCAACAATCCTGTTCACGAAATGCAATTTTCGCAAATAGCGCTGGATGAATAGGACGTTAAATAAATGATTTCAAGAAATAATCAGCAGTAATATGCCAGCATTACAGTGCTTTTCTTTTTTGAATGACTTTTATTTTCAATATCATTGTCCCAGTCCAAATAACACCCCATAATCATTTTACAAACATTTGATGGTGTTTATAGAAAGACAGCCCATTTCATTTTAACATCTTATTAATAGCAACTTGAGAGAGTACTAAATGTACAGATTCATTCTGATGACAGCTGCATTTACAGTGGCCAAAACACAGAGAGCTTTAGAACAAGAATCAAAATCAATGTCACCTGGAAATGTAACTTTACCAATACCTACAAAAAGAGAAAGAGAGAGAGACTCAAAGACACAAAATAAAAGTACACAGCACTATTTCGACACAGAGACTGTTAGTTCACACAGCATCCGTGTATGTGTTTTCATGTGTGTTTTTTCTCGTATATTGTGTTGTGTACTATATTCATAGATCTTATATAAAAGAAAAAAGAGGTACTCATCGATATATTAGACACAAATATAAAAAGTTAAGGTACACAAAGTACAAAGTTTTTATTTCTATGGCAACAACAGGACATGTGTCAGGTTGTTTTCGCATGGAATATTGAGCAATGTAATTGTACCTGCAGCAAATCAAAAGCCAAAGACCATCTCAGATACTCCCTGACTAAGCCTCAGTAAAGAGTTTCCGGTTTCTATAAATTTAAACGGTTTTTACGGATCTCTGTCACACAAGGAGGAATTTGGCGTAATCTCTCCTGACAGCCCTGTTTTTTTTTGGAGGGGACGTTTAGGAGTACGTTCTGCATCATATGAAACCTGTCATCATGAAATGTGCGTCGCTTAAGAAAAAAAAAAAAACTAACAGAACTGAAGCCAACAAAGATTTGTGTCCGTAAACATTAGATACTTGCCTTTTATAAAATAACATGTTCATAGATAGATGATGCCTGAGTATAGTACCACATGAAAACAAAAAAATACAACACATGACACAAAATAAGCCTTTACAATAAGCAGTGTGTAATTTACATGTCAACAACAAGGAGGGCTCTGATTTAGAAGTATTTGTCCTATAAAAAAACATCATATTGCACTGGATTCAGCAGGTTTCATTCAGTGAAAGTTCTGATAGACTCAAAATGAATGAGAAAGCACATTCAGTTGTAACGCACAGATGAAAATGCCAATTTTCTATTCCCCTAACCTCTGTCCCATTGGTACTGTTGTTCCCTTAGACAAGCCTTACAGAATATACAATCGGAAATGATAGGAGATGTACATAAAAAGCATGACTTACAGTAAAATGTGCCCATAAGTGTTTAAAAAAATGCATTATTCTTACGTGGGATGGAATGAAAATTACTATCTTCATTTTTTCTTTAAAGATATGTTTATTTAATAATATTAAATCCAGGCAAAATAAACAGACCTATTAACACAATTTTAATAATATGATATAATATAATACAATATAATGTGTCTATTATATTATATTATATTACTTTCTATAAAATTGCATTTAAAACTATTCAAACACTCTTACATAAGCTTGTCTTATGATATGGCAAACTGTTGGTAAAGTACAGTAGGATTGGTCAGTAGTGTTTTAAGGCGGGGCTTAGCACAAAGTCAATTAACCTTTTATTCAGCAGATTTGTGTTCAACTGATTCTGAGCTCTGTCAAGACTGAAGAACAAATCAACATTCCACACTCAGTCAAACTCCAGACATGTTTATCAGACTCACAGCACAAATCTTCTCCTGTGCCGGCAGTCACACGGGCCAGTCGTCTGTTCAGATTTATTGTGTTTTTTAATTGACGTTCAGTTTATTGAGCTGTCGACTGAGATGGTTTGGAGCTATTTTCATTCTCTGAATCATACTCACTCTTGAAACCCACAAAATGCCTGAAATGCATGATTTCCCATAAAGTTTCCTTGTATTAAAATATAATGCAAATGACCTGGAATTTCCTAATTATTAGGAGAACTACAGCTACAGCAAAAACAACTGTTTTTTTTAGGCTTGGCACAATAAAAATGTGTATATTTGTCTTTCTGTAACCTCTGCAGCAACTTATTCGATGTAAACAAAAAATCTGTTTCAAACTTTTCCACTGATCCTGTGAAAAAGAGGATTAAAAAAAATCACAAGATAGAATAGAGGTAAATATATAGAAAACACATTTACACATGTACATAATACAGAGCTTAGTGTTCCAGTATATAATTAGTACTTTTCTAAATATCTAACATGATTGGCCAGTGTGGTTCACATGATCTCCTAAATTGGTCAATTGTAGACAGTTGTGGAGGGAAAAAAAGTAAAGAATTGACAAAACGTCATATGTATTGCTGTCTTCCAAGGATGAAAACAGGAATCACAATTCTCTACTGCTTATATAAACATTTTGAGGAACATCTGAAAACCTATGATTAAATTTACTCCAAGACGTTTCACTTTCAGTGACAGACTATTGCAAACAACTGTTTTCCTCGTTCACAGTGTTTGCCTTTGTACAATATGTAATTGTAAGCATTAAACATCTGTTTTGGGATAAAATAACAGTTATCCTCTCTCTTATTTTCTTTCCTCGTCATATACAGAATAACTGTCCTGGTCTGTTCATGCACTGTTTCCCACAGCGGAGCTCTTTGGTCTAGAGACACACACATTCTCTTTCTCACACACACACATACACACACTAATCCAAAGTGTCATTTATTCCTGCTGACTTTATCAATAAATGAAACTGATTGGCAAGTTTCATGCTGTTTGTATATTACTGCATTTCTGATTGCTATTAAAATGATTGGCACTAGACGTTTCTGCTGATGGAATATTTGCCTCTGAGTCAGTTCTGCTCTAATAAATCAAACTGTGAAAAACGATAAATAATAAACTATTAGCTTAAATTAAAACATAGCACACAATAAAAGGGACATTCATGGTTTTGTTAGTAAGTAAACGCAAATGAAATCAAGTTGGCACAAATTACTAGGCACGAAAATAAAGTAACACAATATTTTGTCCTTTATGAGTCTATGCACGAGGCTGATAATTGTCTGGTGATTTATTCAAATTAAGCTTTGTAATTAAAACCTAGAGGAGGTTTATTACCTATTTTGTAATGTTTTAATAGATAATTGTGTTATTTAGGCTCGACCCACAAACTAACAGTTGTTATCAAACACCTCTCTGAGGGTCTGTGAGTCCGTAAACATGATTAACCCGTACATGTAATTTCTCATCAGTGATAAAAAAAAGAAAAGAAAAGGAAACTCAACAAGCGTCTGAAGCATGGCTTTGGCAAATCAAATAAGCTGTAAATGAATACTGAATCTGGCTTCCACATTGTTTGATAGCTTTAAAAACATTTCAACTTTTCATTGAACCTCCGCTCGCAGATTAACAGTCCCAAGAGTCCAGTTGAATTGGGTCTGTCTGACTCATAAGTAACCTCGTTTGTATAAAAATAGAGACTATTCCTTTAAAACGGGGCCTAGTAACAATGTAGTGAAATTAAAACCTGGGTATACTATTCCTCACTGGGTTCATTTTTTTCCCCCTCTAAATGAATAGTGCTCCATATAAATATTTTTTTGGACATTTGTAACACATTTCCTCAGCTATTTCAAAACATATTTCAAATACATATTCATACTTTTTATACAAAAACGGATGACAGATTTATATTGGGAGACAGTCACTGAAATTACTTGATGTGTCTGTAATTTTCCACAAAACTGAACGCGTCCCATCTATATATGTAGTGGCACATAATGGCATTATTGGCACAAAGTTCAGGAGAGTCTTTTCTCCACACAAGCAGACGTATCGTGTCAGAGAGCGTCCCCGCAGCCTCTCCTCTCCAGCACACCCACATGTGCAGTAATACACGTATATAATATATCAACTCTAGGTATATCATCTCTAAAATGATCACATGTCTATGGAAAATAATTTGGGAGTGGTATCCATAGCACTGCATCAGTCTAGAAAAATAAACATCTTCAGTCTGCTTCTAGAGAGATCCGACATTTGTACAAAACTGCCTGTTCGTCTCGCTTCCCGTCTCTGTAATTGCTTGTCGTTGTTGTTCTTGTGGTTTTGTTTTGCTTTATTGTGTTTTAGTCTTTTGTGTTCGATTCACAGGTTTTCCAATGAGATCCTGAAAGTAGAAAAGATTCCATTTAAGTATTTAAATATTAAAGTTATATGACTTTTTTTAAATAGAATAAGAACTGATAGTGTAACTTTGTAAATAAACTACTCTGAAGGTATATAAGAAACAATAATGCATTAACTTTATACAACTTGAAATGTTAAAAATATATTAGTACATATAGAAATTAATATTAACCTAGATTAAGTAATTGGTAACACTTTACAGTAGGTTGCATGTGTCGTTAGTTAACTACATTATAGTTAACATGAACTAACAATAGAAAAACTTCTGCTTCTAATCTACTTCTGCATTTTGTAATCTTAATTAATGTTAAAGTCAGTATTTACTAATATAAGGGTTATTACAGTTAACTAAAACTAAAACCGGGGGGGAAAAATCTGTTACTTTAATAAATGAATAATAAATGTTAACTGAAAGTTTAATTCAGCTATTTCCCAAAGAAACATTTTAGCTTAACTTGATGTACTAAAATAAAAGAATGAAAGAAAATAAAAACATTAAATAAAAAATAATTAAAACTATGTAGACGGATAAAAAACACAATAAAAATGACAAAAACACACAAAAACCAAAATTTTTCACAACAATTAAAATAGAAACAGAATGTATAACTAATTCAATCTATTAATAAAGACTACCGTAGTATATCATGATAGTAAAATAACACTGACTAATACAATATGAAAATTTAAAAGTTGTAGCTGTTTAATATTATTTAGTGGAACTGAGCTAACATGAACTAACAGTAAACAGTTGTATTTTTATCTGAGCCACAAGTCTGCAACTCATTTCAGTTCCATGACTAGTGAAATATCGCTGTTAAACCCTGAGGAACGGTGATTTTCCAGTAAGTACACAAGCACTGGAAAAGCATGTCAGAATTACACCATATAGACTTCAGAGCCATTAGAAATACAGTACATACCAGGGCACAAATTGAAGACGTGGGCTCAACCCAAAGGTAGTAAAAGGGCCTCAACAGGAGATCTCGAACCATTTCTCAGACACAAAGGCCACAGGGATTAGCTGCCTTTCAGTGGGCGACGGTCTGGAATAGACAGACAGATCAGCTCTTCAATCCTGCAGATATAAGCACTTCTGTCCCACTCCCTGATTCAAGACTCTTTTTTTATGTGGCGACTGCATTATACCACAAACAAAGCGCCCACAGTTACATTTCCCCTAAACCCTCTCATCTAGGCTTTTCTATTCAGAAGCATACAGTATTAAATGAAGCAGCACTGAAATTATTCATACAATTTAAAGCTCATACTCAATCTTTTATAAAGACAAGGGCAATGGAAGGACAAAAACACGAATACACAACTGTCACAACATACTTATCTGAAAAATAATGACTCTCTGGCAGATTCAACTGGTTATTTTCAAAATGCACATTAAAGGCTAAATTATTCTATTATTGAAGATTGTAAAACATATTAAAAGCAGCACTTTAAGAATGGTGAAACGATCACATTCTTGCGTTCAAAAACAGTTCGAATGGAGCAGAATGCAGGGGTTTTAAGACCACTGACATTTAAAAGTTGGACTATTATTAACTTGACAAGCTGTCATAAATAGCTCAAAAATAACTCATAACTACAGGAAAAAACAGCATGAGACATGATGCAACTGCCAGAGAGTCTGTCTTCGTGTGAATAGCTGTGCATTATACAGGATGAATTTAAAGATGCAACTTCTCTAAGAATGTTTTAATATGGAAACTGTCTGTCAGCTAAAGTACAGTTCAGAAAAAAGGTACAAAACTCTATTCTTACACTGTAGGCACTAATAAAGGTACTACTATGTACCATTTAGGGGTTAATAAGGTAAATTATTTTTATTTATTTATTTTTTTACCTTTTTTAACTTTGTACCTTTATTCTGAGACTGCACTGTTATATAAAAAAGATATACGAAAAAAGATCAATCAAGTAGAAAACAGAAAAGTTTTCCTTTGCATTTTTGAAAAGTTTTGCAAACAGACAACAACGTATTCCAAATGTTCCGTTCACATGGATCTACGAAAATGACTAAAACACTGTATTATGCATACCAGTAGATGGCGATGTCACTTTGTAAAGAAACATTTCAATTTATTTATTTATTTAATATAGTTTATATTGTGACAATACTGGTATCGTTTTTAAAAACTTGCACTTTGAAACTGGTTTTCAAAAGTTTCCATTTTCAGGTGTCGTTTAAAATGCCGTTGTCGTGTGAATAAACAGCCAAGACGCATAAAAGGTTTTCCGTTTTCAGTCGTGTAAAAGGCCCCTTTTTAAAATGGCAAATAGCCTCAACTCAACTAAACTCAAACTTTATTTATAAAGCACTTTCAACACCACAACTGGATCCAAAGTGCTGTACAGAGAAAGATAAGAGAAAAACAAAAAATAATAATATAAAAACAAATGAAAAAAAATAGTAAAAGAAAAGAAAAATAAATAAATAATAATAGTAACAACAAATATCATACACAGCTAAAAAACATTGTCAAAAGCTAGAGAAAACAAATGAGTTTTAAGCGAACTCTGAAAAACACCCAAGGTTGGAGAAGCCGGGGTCAAATGTGATGTGCACTTTAAACAGCATGTTATACATTGGTGCATAATGTTTCTTCTGCTGTGCTTTGGTCCAGTGTTCAAGCTTTTCAGAATGAACATTGTTTCTGACAGCACTAAACCTACTCTATGCTACGAGGAATGTACAGAATGTACGGACTGGGCTGTCAGTGCAGTCTCTTCGTTGTCCCAACTACTTGGTCAGCAGTAGTAACATCCAGCCCAGTTTTTTTTTTCTGGAGAACATATATTAATGTTGGACTCTTGCCTGTTTCCATTGTAGGAGGTCTTGTAGATGGGTGTGTGCTGAATCATCTCGTCCGTGTACACCGGTATGCCGGCCCGCACACACTCGTGCGAGCACTGTAAACTGTCGTTGTAGGCAGTGAAGATGTCCACCTTACTGGGCACGCGGGCGGGCGTGAAGTCAGTCAGGTTTTGACAGCTCTCCTCTTGCTGGTTGATCTTTCTCTGATGGCTGCTGTGTCGGCCATTCCCGGACTGCGCACAACTACAAAAACACGCACCAAATTCACAAAGCCAACATAAAATCATACCTTGAACCGCTGTGTCTGTCCTACATTTAACATGGACTGGGGAGGCAGACACAGACAAATTTAGCTCTGTTCGAAACCTAGTGAGCCTCCTCGCTGTGTTTCCTAAATAGGCATTCTGATTGAAATGCAACCTCATAAATGGCTGATCTGAAATGCTCTACATAGGCAGCAAAGTGCAGCAAAATGGCTTGACAAAAGTTGATTTCAATGTGAAGATCAACTCGACATTTTAGCATGAATATACATAGTACACATACATTTGGGGTAAAATAGTATGTTTCTAATGATTATTTTTGAATTATTTTATGTATTTTTATTTATTTGTATTTTAAAAATGATTAATATTATTACCATTTTTCTGCAGTATCTTGGATAATGAACATTTATTTGTTTTATAATTATTTTTAATTAATTAACATTTTATTTTTATTGTTTTTATTAACATTTTTTTTAAATAATTTTCAGTATTTTATGGATCTTGAATAATTAACATTTCACTTAAATCATTTATTATTATTATTATTATTATTATTACAACTACTACCACTACCAACTGCTTAGCAGTATCTTGGATAATGAATATTTGAGTTTTTAATTATTTAAAAATAATTTTTAATTAGTAACATTTTATTAATATTATTTTTATTACCAAAGTTTTTTTTTTAGGAATCATTTTCAGTATTGAATGAATATTGAATAATGAACATTTCTCTCACATCTGAAAAACAGTCAGCTCCTAATTATTTATTATGTTGATTATTATTATAAAAAATTTTCAGCAGTATCTTGGATAATAAACATAAATATTACATTTTTATTAGTATTATTTGAATTTGTAACATTTTTTTCAAAATAATTTTCAGTATCTAGAATAATGCACATTTCTCTTACATCTGTTTGTTTACGTTATGAAAAGAAAGCTCTCACATTCATGTTGCAATGCACTCTGGGATTGCTCTCTCTGCAGAAGATTCATACAATTCCAAAAGAAGGTATCTTAGGTACCTTAAAATGCTGCCTACGGAGGAAGCTCAACAGGTTTGGGAAAAAGCTATTGTGTACAAGTGTCCGGATTGCTTGGCGCAATAAGGGGTCACTGTCCACATTGACAGACAGAGTGATAGAGAAGGACAGATTGAAAAGATAATAAACAGACTGAGGGACAGGAATAGGGAGAGACAGACAAGAGGAACACAGACAGAAAAATCACTGAGACACAGTGCTGAAAGAAAAGAATGTTTCCTACCAGTTTTTAAGGACTAGAGTAGTGATCAAGGCTGCAACGATCATGATGAGGGACACAGTGATGGTGATGATCTGGTGAACAGCCAGACCTAAGAAGAGAAAAACAAAAAAACAAAGACAGCATAGTTATCAATGTCTCCATGGCAACTAATGTGAGCTCCAGTGCCTTTTGTAAGGTATTTGATTACAAAAACACTGATTCTGCATCTTAACATGCTCCGCTCTATCTATGCCAGCGTAGCTTCTTCTAAGCCCCGTCTGCCACCGTTACAGTAATTCAATTGTTCATTTGACCATTTCAAAAGTCTGGAGCATGAAACAGCTTGACTGGGAGAAGATGGCAAGCACACCAGCTGGCTAAAGGTCAGCAAACGACAATTAAGGCAGAGCAAGAACTCTCTGTTCCAGAATAAAGAGCATCACAAGAACTATGAGCTACGCTGTCTTTCCCACTCCGTCACTCCCGAATGGATAGAAATGAAACCCCGCGGGGAGCTGCAGTTACAGACTTTTAGATATAAAGAGTGCCACGACTTCCATTTCTTGCTGGAGCTGATAAGAGTGAAGGAAGCAATTTTATGGATTTCCCCATCAATATTAAAGTGTTTGTGTCTGCGAGGAACAGCAGCATCCATATTTAAGTATCTAGGATATGAGAATGCGGCATGGCTTGGCACATTTATGTGAGTGGTTAGTTTGCAGGACCTAAGGGAGTTCCACGGTTCCAGCATTAATTTATTCACATAACCATTTCAGAGTTATAACACTAGTTAACCTTACTTCACCTAGCACAGTAGCTTCACATGGGGCTAAGTGTCAAAGTCAGTATGCGACAGAGCATATGAACATAGACTAATTTGTTATAGTTATAATGATATCTTTAATGGAAAAAAAATCCATAAAAATAGGGGACAATATACTGTACGAGTTTTTTTTTTTACAGGTGTTTTACTAGATTTATTTTTTTTTAATTACTTGATAATGTCCTGTCCCTTTTTTGTTTTCCTTTTCTTTACAGTGTTGGTTAAACTTGTCTGCTCATTTCATGTTTTTTTTATATTTTATTAAAAGAAAACTTTCAGAGTTTATTACTCTGTCATATAATAGTGATTCATCTGTAAATGCATTTATGCCGCCTTTGTACATTACAAATACAAGTACAAGACCAAATCTGTGAAAATGCTCCTTATTGTGAAATATGAGTAGTTGGCATGAAATACTTTTAGGATATTGACATTTAAAATAATTTAAAATATATTTAGCTAATTCTTTTACAATTATTATGTAAGGTGCTATGATATATTTATTGAGAGACTAAGTGCAATATTTAAATTTATGCAACAAGCAGACATTTAAAACAAATAGAACAAAAGCAGTGTGTCAAAGAGCCAACAATATGAATACATAAACATTTATTTATATAAACATATCAATATATTTATATAAATATAGTTTATTCATCACACCACAGGACCCTTTAAATTAATTAATAAAGGCAAAAATTTGATTAAGCATGTGAAAAACAAAATATAAATGTGGCCAAAATATGCACTTATACATCCTTATTTTAGGTTAAAGGCACATTTTATGCATCAACTAATAATATTTTGCTTCTGTCATGAACATTTGAAGCTGAAAAAAGATTTACAGTAATGCATGTTGACTAGATCATGCTGCGTGAAATATTTACTTTCATGAAGACATCAGCAGCATCTGAACAAAAAATAGTCTTCCTTGATTTAATTTTGGATATATTTGGGGTGGCCAGAAAAAAATAAGAAGTGAACAGTGTTTGTCAAACAAACTTAGAAATTTCTTTTTTTTATCCTTTGGAGAAAAATAAAAAATAATCCATTCCAACACAGTCCCCAGTTTGCAACCACCAAACCATCGGACTGTTTGCATTATTCAGTATATAGTAATAAAAGTGATATATCATTTCACAAATAGCATCCTCTTCCTAATGCATTTGTTTTATTTAGCTAACAGGGCAGCAAATATATGTGCTACAGTATGTGTGTGTGCGTCTGTCAGTTTCCACATCATTTTGATTTCTAGTGGCCTTGTGTTAGCCGTGTCTCATTTTAGAGTCAATTACAGGAATGTCTCAGAGCTGGCAGGAAGGGCCAAGTTTCGCTATACTGTTGCTGTACAGAAAACACTGGACTGGCTTACTTAACCCTGCTGACCTCTGGGGTGCTGAGCCCCTCAAGTTCTGGCTGAATAATCAATACTAGAGAGTGAGAGAAAAGAAAGGGATATAAACAGTAGTGAGAGAGAGAGAGAGAGAGAGAGAGAGTTAAACACTTCAATTTTGTGCACATGTGTGCATGTTTATAAACCTGTACATGTATGTGTGTATGTGACGTTTAACATCTGGGCCAGTTCTGACAGATTACATTAGCCTTGAGGGCCAACAAGCTCTGCTGAGCTGTGCTCCTTATGGTACATTGAGAACGGATGAAAATTAATTCCCAGCAAACTCCTCATATTAACTAGTCTTACTTCAGCAACCATACTAAATGAGCTGAATAAATATGTCTAGGAAAGTAAACTGTAATGTGACAAAACACTTATTAGACTGACAGTCAAGGTGCTTCAAATTATTTTTTGTAGCTGAACAAGAACTGCAAATAAAAGCAATTTTTTAAACAGCATATCTATAAGCAATTTAGCCTCATTTCAGTTTTAAGGCTTGTTTCAGATCGTGTATTTTAGTCAGAATTATTGTGTTAGCTTTCTATTTGACGTGCACAAGCGTGCTCTCGTTCAGTGAAGTTTAACGGACTCGCTGTCAGGCGTCATTCAAGTTTTAAGTACTATTTCTCACACCACGTATTAATCGAGTGCTGCAGGGATGGCATATCTTTACAGGCCAAAATTCAGAAACGTGTTAACATTTTAGCATTTTTGGTTCCATCATCCTAAAGTCAATGGGTTTTTGGATAAATGCCTGAAATAAGGTCTTTGCTTAACAAAAGCTCAAGATATTTTCACTTTTTATTCGATGACTTATAATACATAAGTAATTCCCCTTGTGATTTTTTAAGCTCTAAAAGTGGCTTGTGCTTTTGCAAATTATTCAAACTCAAACTTTCAGGGACAATGTTTTTAAATAAAGACTGATAAAGTTGTTGGAAAAATTGACGATGAACAAAACTTACTTTTGTTGGTCACAGAGCTTATTTTCTGCAACAATCCAAAAGGCATTTGCAAAATTTGATTGGGTTTTCCTGAGGCAGGAACTGTGATGCTAACTTCTGAGTTGGCATACAAAAATATTTAATTACTGCAGCACTTTGTTTTAGTCAGAAATATTGTGCTCCCTTTCTGTGCACTCCATTTGTTTGACACGCATGCATTCAATCAGACTTGCACTTGCTTGGTTAAGTCTGTGACGTTTCCTGTCATTTCTAACATTTACGTATATGGAAGCGCACACATCTGTCAAAGCACCTAAAAGGGCAAGTCGTGTTACTTTACACTTGTGAGATTGGTTGAAGCATTTATATGAAAGCGTTCTCATGTTTTTGAACATTTTGCATCATGCACATTTCCCACAGCAGCCCAATCTGTGACCTCTATTATTTACGTGTTTTGTCCATAGAAATGCATTTTTCTACAGTACTGTAAAATGACGGCACTAGCAGATGCCGCACAGTGTGCAGACCAACTAACTAATAATGAAATTTGTTCTTGATTATTTATAATCAATCAATCTGTCTAACAAGGCTGTATGAAGAACTGATCCTGAAAAAAATCTGTTCCAATGCAGTTTTGATTCATTATAGGCAGGTTCCTTGTTTGACCTAGAGGAGAATTTGTTATATGAACATAGGAGTTCAGGCACTCATTTACTTCATATTGATGTTCTGACCCTTCTTGATTGCTTAGCTGGCACTGTGACTGATGGAAGCATGCAGATGCATCTGGGAAAAGCTCGCCTCACTTTCCCTCCCTGTGTTCTGCGTCCGGGTCAGAGCTGGATTAAATTTATCTCAGTCCCTGGCCTGAGCACTGCTCCTTGGCATGGAGTCCCCCAGCTACGCCAACACATAAACATATCGGACAGCTATTTAAATTTCCCTCTCTCGCTCCGTTCCTCTCACTCTGAGATGGAAGGCAGCAGATTGAATTGAGAGAGTGTGTCGGGTGATATATTCAGGTGTTTATGCATCTGTGAAATTTTATGAGACGAGCTCTTCGTCCTCGACCTTGCTCTGAGTCAGAACTCTCGTTGGTTTCTTAGCCTGTTGTTTTATGTATTGATTTCAGCTCGAAAGATTCATTCCCCCCGTTCTGTCACACCGAACCCATCACATCTGTGTAATATAGAGCTTTATAATACCAGAGTAGACGAATGCAAATGTACCCCCATCAGGGCTCTAGACTAACTTTTTGCACTGGTTGCACTGGTGCGCGTAACTTTTTTTCTTAGGTGCACCAGCACAAAAGTTAGGTGCACCCAAATTTTCGACCGCATCGCATTTAACACCGCAGTTTTACAAGTTCTAGTCTTACCTGTGAGGCATACAGTGGAAAGGCACAATGTGGTCACCTGCCTCTTGCTGCAGAAGGGCTATGACACCCCCTTTGCTGCCCAAATTAACAGCAGCACCATCAGCACCCAGAGCTCTAGAGCCCTGCCCATTATATTCTTATTACAGCCACCCAGGCAGAGAGAACAGGACGTACATCACCTTGTCTCACCTGGACCTGCAATGAGAGAGATAGGCACACCAATTCCAATCAGGGAAAGTGTCAAAGGAGGAAAACAGCCTGGCGCTGAGGTACCAGACACCCTCTTTCCTGACTCTGCCAGTGATGGAGTCACCTTGCTTCAGGTGCTCGGGGTGAGCCTTTGTTTCCCTGGGCGCCTTGCCAATAATCAGGACAAAAGAGCCCAAACCTCAGAGGCACTGTACTTCCAAACTCCCCAAACCGCAAAGACGTAGAGTCCTCACGCCCAGAGATACTATTAAACATCTCTACTAGAACAAGCTGAACTGTTCAATTCTTTCGGGGTGTTGTTTGTTTCAATTGTATCGAAGAGTTCAAGGTCGGCTGATTAACATAACCCTGTTAGCCT